CATAAACACATCTTCATGTATAACATTAAGGAAAGAATTGTTTATGTCTAGTTGCTTTAATGCCAGTCAAAAGTTATAGTTAGTGAAAGAATGATCTAGATTGTAGTAAGTTTAGTAACCGGACTAATTATAGCATCTAAGTTGATGCTAGCATCTTGTTGAAAGCCTTTAGCAACCAATTTGGCTTTATATTTATTAACAGATCCATTAGGGAGAAATTTGGTCTTGAAAATCTATTTGCAATCAATAACATTTTGATTAGAGTAAGGAATGAAGTCCTATGTCTAGTCCTATGCTCTTTCCATTTAGGTACAAAGAGAGCCTTTTTAACATTAACTGGTTCTGAGATGTTCTTGCTACTAAGAGAAGTTATACCAACAAATGGATACTTTAGCTTGAAAATACCACTTTTTGATCTTACGATCATTTGATGCCTATTTGTTGTGGTATTATTAGTATTCTCACTTGCATGTTCAAGACTGTCATTCTCTATAGCACCAACTGTGTTAACAAGTATGGTTATGTTGTTCTGGCTTTCATGATTCAATACAGTATTTGCAGCAGCATGAATGGTTGTATCTGATATAAAGGATGCTATAGGTATTTGAGTTTCTTGTGAATAGTTATGATAATTAGAAGCTGGTTTAATAGCTTGTCTTGAATTTGTGTGGTTGCAAGCATATAGGAAATGAAGTAAGTTCATAACTAACAATAGCAAATTCTTGTGATTTTTTCAAAAAACCTATTGAGAAAGGAAATTCATCTGCATTAAAAACATGTCATGAGATAAAGATTCTCCTATTAAAATTAAGACACTTAAATCCCTTGTATTGTCCACTATACCTAATGGATACATACTCTATGGTATGAAAGGATAAGCTTATGCTAATTGAAAGCTTAAAGTGAATGATAGCAAGTACACCAAAATGCTTCAAGCTCTTATGATCAAGTTACTTGTTGTATAACACTATGTGAGGACTCTTACCTGCAAGAATATTAGCTGGAAGAAGATTGATAGTATATACAGTTGTTTGGAATGCTTCCTACCAATAATATAATGGCATGTGTGCTTGAGCTAACATAGATAAACCCCTTTTAGCAATGTGGCAATGTTTTTCTCTTAGCTCTTTTATTTTAAGCAGATGTGTAAGGGCATGACATCCTATATTGAATACCAGCTGTGTTAAAATATTCAACAAGGATCTATATTCTCCTCTTCTATCACATTGAAACTTCTTTATCTTACTATCAAATTGATTTTCCATAAGATTTTTGAACTATATGAACATTAATTTACTTCAGATTTATTTCACAATGGGTATATCCAAGTGAAATGATTGAAATCATCTATAAAGTGAACATAATACTTAAAACCCCTGACATTTAAATGTATTTATTTAAGAGGACTAGACACTTGTGAATTAGATTTTGGAAAAGGTAGATTATGGACTTTTCTATATTGGCATGCTTCATAAAACAGAAGTGTTTTATTCTTAATATAAACATGACAATCATATAAAACTTTAGACAAAACTGCAAATGAAGGATGGCCTAATCGTATATGCTACCTCATAAGCTCATTACAAGATTATATGTTATTTCCTACATTAGCTATGTGAACTCCAGCAGTCCAAGCTCCTCTATCAGTATGCATTTGGTAAAGACCCTTATCAATTGTTCCTTGCAATAGCACTTGCCTTGTCCTCTTGTCCTTCACATAGCAAACTTTAGGGTCAAAAACTACAATCACATCATTGTCAGCCATAAGTTTTACTATAGGGATTAGATTTTTGATAATATATGGAGCATATTAAACATCCTTCAAATAAATAGTACCACTTTTCAACCCAATCACATTAGTGCTACCAACATCTTTGATAGAAATAAAATTACCATTGTCAACATATAATACTAGATTACTTAGATATCCTACTGTAGGTTCAAGAACAAAAGCATCATTAGTCATATGGTTACTTGCTCCACTATCCATGTACCAGGTTCAATTAGCCACAGTGTTTAGAGTAGCAATCAAAGCACTATAATAGGATGGATAGTTGCTGCGAGTGCCATTTTGTGTAAAATAGTAGCAATTGGTGGTTGTGTGTCTAAAGCATCTATAAACTTGACATTCTACACCAATATTGTTGTTACTATCCAATCTACCACGTCCTTTGAAACCCCTCATTCATTTGTTCTGACTCCCTCTCTAGGAGTTTCAAAATGATGAATTATGACTTAGGCCTTCAGTAAAATGTCCAGGAAGACTAGTGACAACAAGTGCATTCATCTAGAAAATGACATAGTTAAGCTGCTCCAAATGACTTTTAAAGGAAAGTAATGTTGCTTGAAGATCTACCCAGGTGAGATCCTTCTTCTCAAAAAGTTGACATACTATAGGATTGGGCTTGCAAGGACTGAGCCATAAGATCAAAAATGGAAACAGGATTTTTGGCCAAAAGTAAGTTGTATGCTATGCATTTCATCTTGGCTAAGTAGTCAACGATTTTTTAGGAGCCTTTACAGGTTTTCTAAAGCTACATCTTAAGCAACATCACTCGAGTATCGAGGCTTACAGCAGCAAGATCTTTTGTAGCTTGCCAAAACTCAAATGCATTCTTGCAATTAGTAAGCTAAGAAGATATTTTAGGAGTCATAGATTTATAAAGCCAGCCTATCAACATCTGGTCACTGGCTTGCCATTCTTGATACGCCGAATTAATTTTGAGCTCATCATTTTCAAATATGTACTCTGAGGGACATAACTTTGGCCCTACAATGTGACCTTCTAGTGAGTAGCTATGAATAATGGAAAGAACAATGGTTTGCTAGAAAGATAGTTGTCATAGTCCAACTTGACCAAGACAGCTTGAGAGCTCGATGACATGATGGTGGGTTTTGGGTGTATGGAGACGAAGACGGTGGTGGCATTTGAGGTGGTAGTGGACGTATTTGAGATATTGGGATGAACGAAAGTGGAGGAGGTCATCCGCTTTGATATCAAGACAAAAATAATGCCAAAAGGTTTTGACAGTAGGTGATGGTAATTGCCTTGTATTCCAATGATTGGTATTGTACATATATGTAGAGCATGTATGCGCGCTAACGTGCAGAGCAAACAGGAATGGTACAGAAAACAAATGATACACGTGTCATATACAAGAGATAAGAACAAAACAAAATATTGAAAAATGACGTCTTCTAGTATGTTCTAAGGGCGTGGGCTTAGTTCTGATAACTTTATCAAATTCATCGTTTGGGCCTAAGCAGATATCTTGGGCTTTATTCTCAACTGGCACATTGTAAACGTGAAAACTGAATGAATAATGGGTGCCACGTGAGAGCACGTGCGTTTTGTTTTTCTGAAGTTGCGATGAAACACAGCCATGTCAATATTGGTATGTCCTGCGTTTAAAATTGTACCCAATGTTTCACACCTTTCCCTGCCATCTTGTTCTTCCCATATCATATCAAAACGCTTCACACTGTGCATTCCGTTTCTGTTTGTGTCCCTCCATCTCCTCCTCTTCCATTTTGGTATTGTAGAACTCTATTGCCACTTTGACTTCCATTTCTACGCATAAATCTTACAAATAACTAATCACAAGCTCAGGAGCAGTTTTAGTATATTATCAGTGTAAGATATTACGATTTCCATTATCATGACAAATATAAAGTTAATATTTTAAAAAATACAGCAAAATCAAACAATTTATAACGAAACTGATTGTAACTTTGAAGTTATATGCGTGTATCGAGATCAACACATACAACACGGTTATTAGTTCTCCATGTGACCATGACATATTAGACGAAACACGTAAATAGAGAAATAAACATCACAGCCTTCTCGTTACGAATTCAACTTCGGGAGGAAAGGAAAACCGAAAAAGCATATTAATCTTCCATAGCTTTCATGCTTTCATTCTTCCAAGATGATTTTTTTCCTTGCACTGAAAGAAATCGTAATTCGTTTCCCTATTCAAAACAGCCAGGGGGAGTTCCACACGCCACATGAAGTCTGAAATATAAAATTCATTGCTTATAAATATTATGTTTTATCAAAGTCCTTTTTCTTCTTCCTTTTTACATCAAGTTTTCTTCTTTAAAAGCCCGGATAAGTCATGAAGTACAGATTTTCCAGTAAAATAGCAGCGCCAGGAATTTTTTTTTTTTTGGTATAAAAATGTGTGTTTTACTATTTTACAGGGCTGAACTGGACAAATCTTGTCCAATCCAGTCTTGCAAAAACATTGATCCAAAAAATTAAAATGACCGATAAAACCGGATTTCATCTTTAGGTTGAAGTGGACAAAGAACTGAGCTTTCAGGCCATTTAATTAAACCTAATCCTATAAAATTATTTTAATATAATTTAATATTTTTAATATAATTATAATTATAATGTGAAGCCTAAATGTTAAATTAAATAAAACATTTTCCCACTGATTCTTCCAATGTGTTGCTCCTTCACCGTCCAAATGAGTTCTATCCTTCACTGATTCCATGGTTAATGTTATGAATTTATTATGATTAGTTTTTGATGTTTTATGATAAATTTTGCGTGATTATAAATATTTTTGTTATTTTAATTGAATTTATCAAGTTAATATAAATTATTGCCTCTTACAAGACAAAAGGAAGGAGAAAAACAAATAAAATGAAGTACTAAGCTACCAAAACTAACCTCCCAATCCTATGAAACAGAGCCACTTTTGTTCAACTCTAGATTAAACTTAGACTAGACCAAACTACAGGTTGATTCTATGTTAAGCCAAAATCTTATTCTATCTGTTATTTGTGCAACCTTACTATTTTAGAAATGAAATCACAGAGTGATTTACCTTGAAAAGTTAAAAAAAATGAAATCAGATGCTGACCGCAGACACACGTTACCTCCACATGATCAGGCATGGCAGGAAAGCACCCAGAACAAGCAAATATTGAAATTTAAATACGATAAGAAACAAGAGCGTGAGAAGTCTTAGGGACATGAACCATGATTATCTGCTCACATCCTCGTTTAATTACTTCCACAATCCAAAACCACTTTTTTGACTCGTTTTATATACAAATCTTTACAATACCGAGACCGCCTCATTCTATACAAAAACATAAACATCAGCAGCCTTTATAACTAATAAATTTATGCAACCAAAAATGAAAAAAGAATAATGCACTGGGAAATTAATCCGTGAACGGAATACAGCCACATTTCATCCTTAATCCTACAGCGTACTCTGTTGATCCCTCAAAATGCCTCGCATAGTTGGACTGGAGTTCATTGTGCAACTGACGCCTCTTACCTCCCACCTGTGTCCGATACCCATATGACAACAAATCAGTATCACTACATGTACATATAGCAAGATAATATTTCAATTTGGCCAGATGGAAAAATTAAAAGAAAAAAATGCATGCAAGAAGGTTTGGGCTAACACAGCATAACAGGAAGCTGGGGCACACGATCAGTTTCTCAAAAACACAGAATCATTAGCTTTATATAGATAGTATTTCAATTTGGTCATATGAAGAAAAAAAAAAAATCAGCCAAGTTGCTTTACTAACACGTGCAGGAAAAGAAAAATGCAGGACTCACCACCTGGTTAACCCAGAGAATTATTAGCTTTGGGCGCAATCAAATGGACGCAATCGCAATGAACCTTCAGGAAACTCCTGCATTCTAAATGGCTCTAAAAGCTCAAACGGTCTGCAACACAGACATATTTTCATTGGTGAATTATAACCTAAACAGATTGTACCCCATGGGGGTTATAGAAACATCAAGGGACAAAATAGCTTGCAAGTCTTATTTGTTCGGTGCCAATAGACTTTTGTTACTAAGCTGTCATTTTCTTAGTTAGTGAAGCTGAAGGACTCTAACCGTCATTGGTATCAACATTAGATACGGTGTCTGTCCACGGTAGATTTGTTAGAATGACAACAATACTTTGTCCGGTATTATGCACATGAATCTTCACCAAATTATCATATTATATGACGCAATAAATGATACCTGTGGCAATTTCTAACCGCCATAACAAATATTATTGTGTAAATTTTGTATTTTTAACACGTCAAATATCTTTTTAGGTGAACTAACGATTTAGACTCTTGTAATTTTTACATGGATAAGTGGGTTACACCCGGTTATAAAACATGACATTCCAAATTCATTGTAGAATCAATTAAAAATGACATTTTGTGGGGGAAAAATTGTTGATTTTATTTGTTTGCAACAATAGATAGCAGCAATATTTTAAGACTATAAATGATCATTTTGTTAGAGTTCTATATATTTATATATTTTGAATAAACATTAGTAAAGCAAATTGATATGCATGCTAATAGTACCTGTAAAACTACCTAGCCACTATTATCCCTATATCAAACATTAGATTCAGCGAGCCTTACAGGATGGAATCACGATTACGCCATAATTTTCTTTGATTGTGCTCCATAGCAACCAACACATCAGTAGTTTCTGGTCCAACTGACCCAACAGCTACAGGAGATGAAACAGGAGCATTTGGAGTCCATATCTATAATAATGGACTGCCATCAGGTTCAGATATCAATGAAGTCAACAAAAAAGATAACATTCATCATAGAAATCATCATTCTCACCTTAATGGTATTATCAATACCACTGGTTGCCACAACAAAATCATATGGATGACACTGCACACAATTTACAACTGTTGCAAGGACAGCCAAATTATCTCAGAAAAGGAGATGCTAATATCCAAAACCTTTCAGTGAGGAAAACAACATTACCAGCTTCATCACCGTTGAGCATTTTTACGAGTCTACCAGTCTGCTTTTCCCAAATAAACCATCTTCCATCATCACTTCCACTGGCCACATATTCACCTAAAAACAAACAAGGAAAAGATCATGTAAAAATTGAAACTCTGACAGATGGCATTCAACTCAATTTTATCACTTGAAAAGATGCTACAATTGCAGGAAATTAGATTAATCAAATGTCGTATTGCTACTATAATAAAATACATCAAGCAAGGTATAAGAAAATTCTTTTCAGTACAAGTATGCATTTCTTAAAGAACTTCAACAAGACAACATTACCATGTAAAATGTAACAGAGTAACAGAAATGGAAAAGGAGAAGATACAGTTTTCCTATCTTTACAGTATGTGTTTGGCATTAAATTATGATAGAACCTTCCCAAAGGCAACCCCACTTGAATAAAATAAATCACAAAGGAACATACCTCTTTGACCAAGAAAACTCGCCTGTTTTATGTCAGTTCCAACATTACAGTGGCCAACAAATCTTTGTTTCATATCAACAGCTGCTTCAGGCTGATTTATTAACAAAGAGAGTAAAAATGAGCTGGAATGGACTGTAATTTGCAGAGTTAAAAAAAAAAAAACACAAGCATGGTCATAGATGAATAACAGCACCTAAATGAAGCAATGAAATGGTCTTACAAATGAAACCTATCTCTAAATCCCAATTAAAAGGTCTTAGGTTCTAAAGGCTTTGCAACCTGAAGGTTGATCTGTTCTTCCCTTTCCATAGACCATTTCAATGTAAGAGTGTTGTGTACAATAAACCCAAGTTCAGATCCTCTCAACTTAGGGAGTGAATTGAGACTGCCAATTAGGAGAAAGAGGATTGAAAAAATAATAGAGTCGACAGGGTGGGTCAGATTCACATTCAAATTCTCATTTTCTCTCCTACCACACTCGGTGCAACACTGAATAGGATCTAGTTTCTCCAAAACAAAGAAAAAGGAATCAAAATAAATTTATCCTTAAAAAAATGATGAAAACATTAGACCCATGGGTCAAAAGAGAATGGCATTGCTGATAAAGGAATAATCAGTTTAAAACGGATGGCATGAACATAAACCTGATAAGATGCTCTATCATTCTGTGATGATGACGACGAGGGTGATTCACAAGAGCCATTTATAACAGCATTTTCCCTTGAGTCACCTCTTCGGTGGATTCTAAGATTTAAACTCCCATGAAGAATGTTGGATTCAACATCACGTCCCTCATCACCTGACATTGATGTTTCAAAGTCCAAGTCCAATTCCTCATCATAATCAGAATCATCTCTATCAGATCTTGGACCATCTTGCGAAGCATCACTATTGACTTCTGCCCGATAGAGTATGTCACTCAATGATAATATTCTTCCACCTCGACTGTCAAACCTTGATGCTTCATCATTTGTCTTGTTATTTTTTTCAGCTTCAGCTGGTAAAATCAGATCCCAAAAAAAAAAAAATCAAAATAATGAAGACAATGAAATTTTACATTTAGAAATAAAAGAAAAGGAATAACAGTTTTTTGGCATGCTAATTCTTGTTATTTTCTTCTAATGTTAATGTCCTTCAAGTAAAGGATCATGTTTCAGTGACCTACATGCAACGTTATACACAGCACAAGCTTTGTTGCTTCAAGGGATCATGGTGTATTGGGATAACTGATAGGACAATATTTTTTTTATTTTTTGGATATAGTTATCTAATATTAGATATTGACATGACCGTGAGATATGGTCAAACTAATAAGAGGAGATCCAGGGGGCAGTTGGGTGTAGAAAAGAAATACCCATTGGGTCGGGATTAATATCCTGGGGATCTAGAAAAGAAGGATTAAGCCATGATGTTTTTGGTAAGGGGGATTAGATTTAGTCTCAAAACTGAAGTTACCTTTTTGCTTGCTTTATTTTGCTGTGCTATTTTTTGGTTAGCACTCAAGGATGTTTTTGCTAGATAGAAGAGAGAAGAGTGCTGGTTTCTCGAACACCAGTGAGGGGCCTTGTTCTTCTCGCTATGTTCTCTCCTTTAACTTGTAATTTTCAGTTATAGGGAATAGAGTTTTGGCTAGAATCAGTGAGTTTCTCTTTTGTAACACTGATTCAGTTCATATGCATTAACATCAAAACCTTAGAATTTCCCACATTTATCTCTCTTTTGCATTAAAAGCTTTGTTCGAATATTTATTATAGAGCAGAGCTCTATCATTTGGTACCAGAGCCATGCAATCCTCGGACCCTCTAACAAGTGCAAGAGAAGATGGCCGAAAGAGTGCAATACTCTAATCCCGGAGTACAAGAGTTGAAAGAATCTGTTATCAAAAGAAATGACCATCATGAAGGAGATGATGCAAACGATGCAAGAAAAATTAGAGCAGATAGCAAAGAAATAGAAAAGTGCAGACCAACCTCTTGAACAAGAGCAACCTAGCCATGAAGAGACTACGGGAAGCACTGAAGATCATGAATAAGTAGGGAAGTACAGGAAGCTGGAGTTACTAATATTTGATAGAGAAGACCCTATTGGGTGGCTTTTCAAAGCGGAAAGGTACTTTCGAATCAATGCTGCAGCTGAAATGGAGAGACAACCATTGCGTGCCTCAAAGGTAAGGCTCTTAACTGGCATCAATGGGTGGAAACTCAATCACCTATCTGAGAATGGTCAGAGTTCAAGCAAGAACTTTTGCGCCCATTCCATCCCTCATAGCTTGGGGATGAGTATGAGATGATGTTTGCAGTTAAACAAGAGCATTCTATGCGCGAGTATGTAAAGGAATTTGAACACGTATTAGCTATGGTGGGGGACGCATCAAAATCGTGTGTAGTTAGGGCATTTCGAGTAGGACTGAAACCAGAGATAAGGGCTGAATTAAAGCTCACAGCCGCCAGTACCCTTAGAGAAATTATGGAGATGTCTATTAGGATAGATGAGAGGAATCAAGTAATAGAGAGAACCAAAGACTCACGGTTTCTGCGAGCCCAACGTTTTTAAAGTGGGCTTAAAAATGAATCAGCCCAAACTCCTTTCACACAGATCACTCGTGTACCTGAGCCCAGTAAAAGCACGCATACTCCTCCAACATACATGAGCTCGAGATTCCAAAAACGGGCAGAGACTAAAATGACAGAATCGAAAGTGGTGAGCAATGCAATGGGAATAGCATCGTCGCGTCCAGGGGGACAAACTCAGCAACTTTCTGATGCGGAATTGACTCTTTAACGAGAGCTTGGCTTGTGTTTCAAATGTGCAGATAAATTTGGACCTAATCACATCTGCAAAAATAAAAATCTGCAAGTGATGTCACTGGAGTTAGAATCTGAGAAGGGGACCGAAGGCCACGAACCAATGTGCACTAAAGATAGTGAAGAGATCGAAGAAGATGAAACTCGAATGGAGTTATCACTAAACTCCATAGTTGGGTTTGGAGGAAATCACACTAAGAAGGTACGTGGGAAACTAAAGAAGGTCGAGATTGTGATTTTGATTGATAGTAGGGCCACTCACAACTTCATAGCTGAAAAGTTAGTCAACAAAATCAAAATTCCAATGGAGGAAATTGCTATCTACTCAATCACTGTTGGGGATGGGTTCAGTATTAAAGGTAAGCAATGCTGTAATGACCTCAAGTTACCAGTACAATGCCTGGACATTATTCAAACCTTCTATCCCTTTCCACTCAATGGCGTGGATGCTGTACTAGGGGTCAAATGGTTAAAATCCTTGGAAGAAGTGAAGGTTATCTAGGGGCAACTGACCATGAAGATTCTGCTCTAACCAAGGCCTTGGTTTCCCTTAAGTCATCTATGCGATTTGTTCAGAAGAGAGGGAGGGGTACATGATTGGATATAATGGAATGAATATTGAAAAAACAACAGCTGAAACTATACATTTGGCGCTCAAAATTCAGAACCTCCTAGATCAATTCTCTACAGTTTGCTGACCCTTTGAAGGGTTACCACCAACTCGTTCTCATGATCAGGTAATAGCAACCAAATTGAGAGAGCAGCCTCCTAACATTCAACCATATCAATACCCTCATGCTCAAAAAAAAAATGAAATTGAGAAGATGGTGAAAGATATGTTGAGAGCAGGTATCATCTAGCCCAATCAAAGCCCCTATTCAAGTCTAGTTTTGTTGGTTAAAAAAAAAAAAAAGATGGGAGTCGGAGATTCTGTGTGGACTATAGAGCCTTGAACGAAATCATGGTGCCAGATGAATTCCCCATACCAGCTATAGATGAGTTGTTGGATGAGTTAAAAGGGGCCACCATGTTCACCAAGCTGGATTTGAAATCCAGATATCATCAGATCAGAATTATGGCTGGAGATGAACATAAAACAGCATTTAGAACCCACGAGAGACATTATGAATTCAAGGTAATATCCTTTGGTTTAACCAATGCTCCTTCCACATTCCAATCTTTAATGAAGGAGATATTTCCTGAGCATCTACGGAAATTTGTACTTGCATTTTTTGATGACATGCTTATTTACAGCCATGATTTAACATCTCACTTGAAACATTTGAAAGCTGTTTTGTCTATCCTGAAAGAGAACCAGCTACTGATCAACCTTAAGAAATGCACTTTTGCCCAACCAAAAATTGAATCTCTAGGGCATATCATTTCCAAGGAGGGAGTGCAAGCGGATCCCAACAAAATTGAGAGTATGGTGCAGTGGCCTAAACTCAAGAATGTGAAATCCTTAAGAGGGTTCCTAGGGTTGACAGGGTATTATAGACGATTTGTCAAGAATTATGGAGAACTTGCCAGTCCTCTCACTAATTTACTCAAGAAAGATGCTTTTAAATAGACCCCAGAAGCTGAAGAAGCCTTCCAAAATCTCAAGACAGCCATAACTTCTCTTCCAATACTGGCTGTGCCTGATTTTTCCATCCCGTTTGAGTTGGAAACAGATGCTTCCGGGTCTGGAATAAGAGCAGTGCTGATGCAGAATGGCTGTCCAATGCCATATTTCAGTCAAAAGCTCTCTAATCGGGCTCAACAATGTTCCGTTTATGAGAGGGAACTTATGACAATTGTTATGGCAGGCAAGAAGTGGCAGCATTACTTATAGGGGGAGAAATTTGTCATCCTAACAGATCAAAAAGCTTTGAAGTTTCTGCTGGAACAGAGAATTGTAGAAGAAAGTCAGCAGCATTGGATCACTAAACTAATGGGGTTCAAGTTTGAAATAGCCTACAAGCCAGGCAAGGAAAATTGTGCAGCAGATGCCCTTTCAAGAAAAGAAGAAAATCTGGAGATACACGGATTTTCTTTGTGGCAGCATGATGACCTTGAAGAATGGGAGAAAGAAGTACATGCTAACCACAAGTTAAATGATATACTGCAAAAAGTCATTACCAAGCAAGGGAATTTGGAGGGATTCAGCCTTGTGAAGGGCTGTCTACACTATAAAGGACGATTGGTGCCACCAAAGAAGTCTACCAAGATTCCCTTACTAATGAAGGAATTTCATGATTCACCAACCGGAGGCCATTCGGGTTATTTGCGCACTTACAAGAGGCTCTCTACTGTTGTATATTGGGAAGGCATGAAAAAAGATATCCAACAATATGTGTCACAGTGCGACGTGTGCCAAAAGAACAAATATCAAGCATTAACTCCGGCTGGGCTGTTGCAACCCTTGCCAATTCCTCGACAAATTTGGGAAGATATTAGCATGGACTTCATTCCAAAATCCAAAAGGTATGACGTCATACTTGTTGTTGATAGGTTGACAAAATATGCCCACTTCTTGGCTTTGACAGACCCATTTACAGCAAAAGAAGTTGCCGAAAGATTCAATAATGACATTGTTAAACTGCATGGGTTTCCAAAAACAATTGTATCAAATAGAGATAAGGTGTTCGTAAGTCAATTTTGAAAAGAATTATTTAAGCAAGCAGGCACTCAGCTTTGTCTTAGCTCCGCTTACCGCCCGGAATCTAATGGCCAAACCGAAGTTTTGAACCGAGGCTTAGAAATTTATTTGCGTTGTTTCACCAGCAAGAAACCAACTCAATGGGCTCAATTGTTACCTTGGGCTGAGTATTGGTACAACACATCTCATCATGGGGCTGCTGGAATGACACCTTTTAAGGCAGTGTACGAACGGGACTCTCCTAACTTCTTTAAGATGAATGAGGAACCATCAGACATTGAAACTGTCAATGAACAGATTCAGTCCCATAATGGCATTATTGCCATTTTAAGGGAAAACCTCACCGTGGCACTAGAAAGAATGAAGAAGCAAGCAGACAAACATAGGCGAGAGGTGCAGCTAGACATTGGAGATTTAGTTTATGTCAAAATCAGACCTTACAAACTGAAGTCTTTGGCTAAAAGACTTAATGAGAAACTCAGCCCGCGTTTCTATGGACCATTCAAGTTCATAAAGCAGATTGGAAAAGTAGCATACAAGGTGGAACTTCCTTCCACAGCTCGCATTCATCCAATCTTTCACATCTCTCAACCTAAAAAATCAGTTTATTCAGCTATCATCACTCCTACTATACCACCAGCACTTTCTGCAGAATTAGAGTTACAAGTACAACGTCAAGGCATATGCAAGGTTCGGAAACTTATGACAGGCTAGCTGGAGGTTTTAGTGAAATGGAAAGATTTACCCGAGTTTGAGAATTCATGGGAGACAGCTGACACCATTTCCCTCCAATTTTCAGATTTTCCCCTTGAGGACAAGGTGAGACTCTTAGAGGCAAGTAATGATGTGACCGTGAGATATGGTCAGACTTATAAGAGGAGATCAAGGGGACAGTTGGGTGTAGAAAAAAAATGCCCATTGGGTCAGGATTAATATCCTGGGGATCCAGAAAAGAAGGATTAAGCCATGATGTTTTGGTAAGGTGGCTAAGATTCAGTCTCGATACTGAAGTCACCTTTTTGCTTGCTTTATTTTGCTGTGTTATTTTTTGGTTAGCACTCAAGGATGTTTTTGAGTTAGAAGAGAGGAGAGTGCTGGTCTCTCGAACACCAGTGAGGGGCCTTGTTCTTGTTGCTGTGTTCTCTCATTTGGCTTGTAATTTTCAGTTATAGGGAATAGGGTTTTGGCTAGAATCAATGAGTTCCTCTTTTGTAACACTGATTTGGTTCATATGCATTAATATTAAAACCTCAAAATTTCCCTCATTTATCTCTCTTTTGCATTAAAAGCTTTGTTTGAATATTTATTATAGCGCAGAGCTCTATCAAATACTATTCATATTCAAGTTGTCGGATCCAATTAAGAATAGCCCTTCCAATATGATTTTTTACCACTTACAAGAATCAAACCCTTGGTCTCGTTTAAAAGGTTCATTTGACTTAACCACTGTTGGTTGGACTAGACAATATTGATTCACAACACCTATCATACTTTTACATCTTTCACATATACAACTTAAAATAATAGTAATGTATAATAAAACAACAACAATAATACTTAGATACATAACTCAATAACTTGAAGAGTTACCCAGAATTCAAATGTGTCAAAACAATTTGAAGTTTAGGAGTCAGAGGCCCTATGTAGTATAAATAGATCTAAATGTTATCCTCTTAAAGTCAAGGGGTTGATCTTCAGCGCACAAATAAAATCATACTCTAATCCCTCAAAACACCTCGTTTTCAGATAGCTTTTTCATTCTCTTCATCAATAAGACAATAAGGAGAATGCTACTGCCCACTCCATAAATCGTTGAGATCCAACTGAATAGCTAACAAAAATCAATGGAAAGGACACTTCAGGACCTCAACTCCACTAGATTAGCAACATCATCCTGAATCAAATCACTACGTCTAATACCTGGACCTAATGCTCTGTGGCTGCTGAAAGTGTCTCAATACGCTCAGGGAGTGTCCCCCTTACAAATGCAGGCAGCTGATTTACATTCTGCATGATTGCATGTGGCACATAATGGTAATGGATAGCTCTATAAATCATGTGGCACCAAACATGAGCAACTTCATTGAAAATTACAATAGGGGATATATTGACTAACCCCCTTGCCTTGCACAATGACACTACAGCTTGAAGCGAAACACTTTTGCTCTTTGTGCTAAGGGTCAATCAAACTTCACTGCCAACTAATTTAAGTGTAGAATTGAGATATCAACAACTTAGCATGCATGATAAAAGAACATTGTAGCTGCAGACTGACATTTGGGGCGAAAAGTTCTTTATGATTACTGTACACATGCAAGGCAATCTGAGCCAAACCTGAAGTTATATCCTTCTTTACATTCTCCACTCTTTCTGCAACTTCTGGTGCTGATGGGGCCAACAAGTGAGCAGCAACAGCAAAATCCAAAGCTTCTTTATGTCTACCCAACTGGAATTAAATAACATCAGGAGCTAATTATAATGTGTTCAAGAACTAAAAGAAGACTTGCCTTTACTGAAACACATCTCTGAAAATAACAGACATTTTCTAATCTGCGTTAAAATTTCAATGTGCTGGTTCTATTATTTGGCTTCTCCGTAAAAGAACCAGATAATGTAAACACACAATCATTTTCTGTTAATGAGAAGCTTAACATGCAGAGACAATCTGGACATATCGTGACAAGTTAGAGATTCATACAAGGGGTCAAAAACTGCAGTTGCATATAACCACATTACCTGCGACAATGCTTCTGAAGCACTATAAAGAGCTCTATAGGATGAATTATTGATTTTTCTTGCATCATAGCAGTCCCTTAACGCCATATGAGCATCATTTTTCCATTTCCGCTGGATGGTGAAGGAAATCATGTAAAATTACACATTAAGAAGGAAAAATGAAATTCAATATACGCAAGATATTTAGGGGGAAACAAAAGGACATGATATAGCTTATCAATAAAAGAACCTTCAGCAACGATGCAGCACGGATACACAGGCATTCATGTTTGAGCGCAGGCCCAACAATATCACCATAGCCATCCAAAACTTCATTACATGCTTCAATTCCATGATAAGATTTCCCTTCCTCCAAGGATCTCTTGGCAAATTGAATTAGTTTCCTGCACTTGTCAATCTGAAGACTCCAATTACCCAATGCTGGAGACCAAGGTAGCATGAGATGCTAAGTCCCCACATTAATTAATATAAGATACTTCATAAGGTATTTAAGTATATTGGTTCTAGCCCTTCAACAACTAGCTTTTACAGGAGGGACACATCCTTCCCAATTGCCCATCAATTGGCAATAGACTTGATGGTTGGCAATTTCAAAAGGGTACTCACAGAGGGTTCTAACCAAAAAGGAAGCATCTTAGATTGTAGCCGTCAGAATGTCAACTCTTTATACGGGCCAATTGAAGGAAACCAATAACTAGCATAACTGAGCTGGTTCTCCCAATAGCTAAAAATTCCCCATCCCACTTGGATGCCCATCACTCAACCAAGTATGATGCAAAGAAATTACAGCAAAATATTCTTATTTAGATACTAATTCTCCACCAAATTCATTCTAAACATTTCCCTTAAATTAATCAAACAAGCATGTGCTGGATACCTGTGCTGCAACATTCTTTTTAATAGGAAAACCATTTGGGAAGACAGTATGCTGCAATTTCACTCCATCAATTGTTGGGGAATAATTCATCAGCTTCAAATTGTCTCCTGAAGTATATTGCATAGCATTCTCTCCAGCTGCATGTTACAGTTATGCAAGTTATCAACAACTTGTATAGTCTAAAAAAGGAAGGAAGGAAAGAAAGCTAGTGGAGTGGAATTTGTTGATGTAAGAATCACGCCAGGTAGTTCATCAAAGTGAGCCAAACTGCAGGGGGGAAAGTAAATGCATAGAAGACGTGGTTTCAAGAAGGGGATTCCAATTTATCATTTTCTCATGGAAGAATCACGCTGATACAAATGGCCACTTAAGCTTGCAAAAACACATGTGGAGACATACAGAGAAAAATAGAACCAAATCACAAAACGTAACAACCTAAGATGATACCATTCAAGAATAGTTTGTTCCCCAAAATATGGCGACCCTTCACTCTGTTTAATAGGCATTCAAATTCAATTCAAAGTATTATTAATTTGACCAAACAAATGTCAACAAAAAAAGGTTCAAAATTTAGAAGTACTTTTTCAGATAAAAAAAACTATACAGATTGTAACATTTAATAACAAGGAGGGTTTAAGGAAAACCGCTATACCATGATTTACATTCATTAGGTAAGCATGCTCTCCACTATAGCTGAGGAGAACCTCATCTCCATTGGGACTGAATGTAACATGAGTTAAGTGCAAGCTTGAATGTCCCTAGAAGAAAGGGGACACAGTTTGAGCTATAACATTACTTTTAGGTCAACAAGTAAAGGAAGATATTAGTTGAAGAGATACGGTAAATCAAGTGCCATATATAACATATTTGTTAAGGCAGTGAAAAGATGTAGATATCACTAAAATACCTGAAAAGCTACTGACAATGGTTATATGTAACATGAGATCCACTACTAACAACAATTTTGGCAAGTACCAAACTGTGATCATCAATAAAATTTGACCACATTCATATTGTTAAGAAGATAAAGAAATCTCCAATTTATTGCTTTGTCCTGCATAAGTGATGAAACATGCACGAAAAAGAAAATCCTCTCTCCCCCAATCATGACCCGAGAGAAAAGGCACATCACAAGGGGCAAAAAGAGGCAATGGAATTGACTATATATTAAAAACATATGTTTGACAGGACTGGGATTAAAAAAAATCTAAATCAGATTTCAGCATTTCAATATGTTTATCTAGGCAAATACAAGAGTACCTTCTCTCCTAATAAACATATGCTGGAACAAGAATTTTAAAAAATAAAAAGCTTCAAGATTTTATAAAAGCAAATACTTTCAAGGTACAGGAAATATTTTCTAATAAACATATGCTGGAACAAGAATTTTAAAAAATAAAAAGCTTCATGATTTTATAAAAGCAAATACTTTCAAGGTACAGGAAATATTTTCTAATAAACATATGCTGGAACAAGAATTTTAAAAAATAAAAAGCTTCAAGATTTTATAAAAGCAAATACTTTCAAAGTACAGGAAATATTTTCTAAACAGTTTGAAGTATGCGTTTGTGTGTGTGTGTGTTTATGTACGTATATTTTCAGAACAAATACGAACAATATGAAGAGTATCAATACTGGAAATGCAGAAAAGAAATCAGGGAACCAAAGAACTAACACTGTCAGAAAGATGCATTGGGCAGAAATAATTGACACAAGGAGGTGGTGACATTCTCTTCCGACAGGAGCTGAGAGGCGGTAGCATCCTTCTATCATATAAACGTGCAAAAGCATCACTGCACGCAACAAAGAAATGGATACCAGTTTGAAATATAAAAATGGGGCTAAACCACCAAAAACAAAAATCACCAGAAACATCACCTCCCACCAACAAGGAGCAAATGCGGCCTAGTAGAGCTAATATCGCAAGATTTTAGAGCAAGGACTTGTTTAGGAGGATCAGCTAATGACCTTTTAGCTCCACAACGCAAGTCAAGCTGACATCAAGAATTAAAAAAACATAGGTCAAACAATTTCTAAGGAATTCAGCTTTAGCAAACCATGACTAATAATTTACAATTTTTCTTAATTTTAGTGAAAAATGAAAAGCCAAAGAACTACATTCTACTATTGTTGACAGACTTTTTAATGATTTGAAACCCTAACTATCATCTGTCTAATAGCAATTTAATATGACTAATAATTTACAATTTTTCTTAATTTTAGTGAAAAATGAAAAGCCAAAGAACTACATTCTACTATTGTTGACAGGCTTTTTAATGATTTGAAACCCTAACTATCATCTGTCTAATAGCAATTTAATCTCAAAAAGATTTGAGAGAAGGCAAGATGTGAATATCATAAAACTGAATGCAGAAACCTGTGATCTCCAGTATTGTGCTGTTCATAAAGTTCTCATTATTGATATCCCAAACTAATTATTGGTCATTGTTCCCAAGTGTACATGAAGTGTAAGTACACACATACAAAAACAACTCGCCAAGAGCCACTTCGACTTCAAAGCTTAAGCTACCATATGAAAGTCCATAAATAGTCATCATAACCTCGACCATGTGTATCACAACAGGCCTCCAAAGGCTTCAAAAGCCAAAAAAAAGCACCTTATCATACGTTGTGTTGAAACTTAATTTTTAACTAAGAGATGGGGCAAGCAAGGCTCATCAAACTTTGAACCACTTAGTCATGGAGGCTGCATTGCCAAGTGAAGAACTACTTCAAGTTAAAAAAAAAAACCTTAAGCAATTAAATAAAGGCACATAAATAGTTCTATTACAATGTTTTGCATAACCAATAACCCACGATAATTTCGACAACCAGCAGATGAATCGATTGAAGAAACATTAAGATTATGAGTTTGTATAATTTTCCCATGCAAGAGCAACTTAACACATCATTAGTTAACAAAATGTACAATTTGTAATTGGCAAAATAAACAGTTTTCAGCATATGATCATGCCTAAGAAAAGTTCTACTTCCGATAGATTCCACCAACTTCAGCAACAACATTATTCTGAGGTAAACAGAATAAAATTGGCATACCACAAAAAATAATCACATGAGGCAACTTACAGACTAGCTACTCAAACCCTTCTCTAAGAATACTTTAATTGCCATTTGAGCTCCATTAGTGAGATCAGCACATCTTGATAGCAGATAAACCAATTTACAAGAGAAACAACTGAAGTTTTCAGTGACAATTTCAGATATTACAAATGAAGCAGAAGCTCCTTTTCTTAACAGTGACTCTCCTACTCTAGCACAGACTGACAGACATATTCCAAGATAATATCAGATATTTCAACCCAACAATCGACCTGTTCATAAGCTACTGGAAATCGAATTACAATAAAAAAGGACAGATTGCTTGAAACTGAATTTAACAACTTACTAGAACATTACGGCACTCTTGGTGAGAAGATCCTGCCGGGGGACAAGATGTGCCTTCCCGAAAGTCATGCTGTCTCAGAGTCCCATCCTCACTGGCACTCCACACCACATTTGGGTTTCCATTTTCAACCTACAATAAAAGAAGCATAGAAGACATAAGAACTCAAAGGAATCAGATCAGTGCTGATATTCCAATCAATGTTATACTCCCTCCATTCCTTATAGGACAAATTTTCGAAGGATGTAATGTTCCTATTTATAAAACAATTTACAAACTCTCAGAAGTAATAAAATTTTTCCTGAAATGCCCTTAATTAATGAATAAAAAGACTTGACCCACCTTGGAGTAAAGTTAAGAGAATGATAAGGAATTAATTGAGGGTGGAAGTGGAAAGATATAAAAGATTTTAAAATATAAAGTTAAAACTGTTTTACCAGTATGCATAATTTAGACAACTTCGTCTCATAAAAGGGAAAGGAGGGAGTATGTAATTTCATTTACCCCATTTATGGATCATATTAAAACTACACTATTTAAGGATAATTTTAGGCCACAGGACATATATTAAATTTCCTCTAACCCCATTTATGTATCATATTGAAACTATGCTATTTCAGGATTTTCTAAGCCACAGGTCTTACAGCCAATTTCTTGACTCTTCTAGTGTGACATTGGTAAAATGCTGATGGTGTAATGGCATTATCTCCTCTCTCGCTTAAACGAGTTAAATTAAATAACCGAACCTGCCAAAAAAAAAAATGAATGTAAGAATTTAACTGGCACAAACCACACAGATATAATGTATCATAACATTACTTCGGCATCTCCAGCTCCAGACACCACAAGCTCATCAGAAGTTTCAGGTACAAACTTAGTACAGAATATATTTGCAGAATGCCCAGTTTCAATTGAATGCAAAAGTTTTTGACCTGCATAGCTCCAAATATTGATCTGCAAGATTTCACACAGAAGTTCAGCGCCTACTGCAACAAAGACAACGCTTAACTTATTGGAGAAAATCAAACGGCAGCATCATTTGCTTTACTAGCCTATTTTCTGTCTTTATAGAATGAGTCCATCAAACAAATTATAAATTATTTCAAATTATAATACACATTAGACAACTGTGCCCTCTCCCACAACTATTAATTTATCTTTATTACACAAAGCTGAATCATTTATTAACTTCATTTTTCCTTGATCAGACTCTTCACTTAGTTGGCCAAAAAAAGAAAAAGAAGAAAACGAAAGAAACTGCTCTGAAAAATGAAACACAATTATACGGTGTGAGCACAAGAAACATGCATTGGATGTAGGTAGGCGATATAAGAATCCCTTATAGCGAGCAAAAGGGAATTCAAAGGTAAAGTCCATCTATCATAAAGAAACACCGAAAAGAAATCGCATGATATATCAAAATGATATATATATATATATATATATAAAATAAAGTTGTAGCCAAGTGATCCCCTTCCCTTGTTTCAAGTTCTTTGGCCGTATATTTTCTCCTTTTTTCTCTTATCACGGGGAAGGAGGATGAGGGTATTCAGATGAGGGCACGCAGGACAACTGATTGCATATTGTTGAATTCATACAGATACAAGTCACGCCTCATCCCCACGTAAAGGGAATAAATCTATTTACTACATGTTCTTTTAAAATACAATTTGTCTACTCCAGAGAAGATTGCATGAGTTCGGGATTTATGGCACAATCAGTATCTAGTATCATCAATTTTTTGTCTGTTTTATATTTAAACTAAGTCATGCACATGTGACTAAGTACAGATGACAAAAGAAAATATTTTACGATACCCGTGTGTCATCTGATCCAGATATCAATAGTGAACCAGTGGAATTCCAAGCCACTGCATTAACACAACCACGATGGCCCTGTTTGAATGATAAGAAAATGAATATCCAGTACAATGGAAGAGAGTTAATGACACAAGAAGCGTTTCATATTTCCATATAGACTTTCTGAAGATAAAGTGCTGCTTCATCAGTTCATCTCCCTCTATACAGAACCAGTTCAATGATATACGTCTCACTTTCAAGTATCAAGTACCATATTTATCACTTGTATTATACATGGATGATAAATAATATATTGGTAGAATCTTCCCAAGAATTTTTTTCGTTCCATTATATACTAGTTAAACAAGCATCAAACCAACCTCTAATTGTCTTTCTAGAGAAAGCCTCCGAATCAATGAGGAGTGCATCTGCAACCTGTGATTAACATCCTAAACAGACAACAGAAACAATTTCTTAGCGACGGTCAAGATCACACATGGGTTAACACATTATCACACGTTCTGATTGGTAAAAGCAATAACAAATAGCAAGAACTAATTTACCTGAACAAACCATTCTAAAGTTCTTTTACCATTTGACACGTAAAATAGTCGGATCTCACACCTCAAGTTTAGAAAGAAAACATATAAACTTCTATGCCGTTCCCAAGTCTAAAATTACATTTCCTTACAAGTTCAATGGTTCATTCAAATCCCAGAAATGTGGTCATTCACGTCCTTCACAGACAGCCTTCTAATTAAGGCATTTCCTTCGCTTTTGTAAGCCTGGCAAACCCTGACCCCGAATCACGACCACGTGCATTTCACTTCACTGCCTCTAACCTTTCTTCTTTGACAAAATGGCCACTGAATTCCCCACCAGCATTTTGGCAAATTATTAAAAGCGAAACTTCTACTTTCTGTTTTCCAGGAAAATTAAGAAAAACAAGACAATCGTGGGGATACTTGACGCTGTTTAGTTTAGGCCAGGCACTCTCTCCAGCTATGATTTCGTCTCTTTCCCTCTAACCCCCAAGGAAAGAAAACACATGCAAGTTTCAGATAAGTTTTGGCCAAATTAATCCACACAAATAAATTTTTCATCCTCTGGATTGTAAATTAAGATTTCCGTGCTATTTCTAGCTCAAAATTACTTTCGAAACTTAAAAATAAATTGAAGGGGAAAATATACTAGACGATTATCGAGGCTTCGAGTCTCGAGCAAACTGAATATATTGCCGTCGTGAAAAGGAATCGAGTCCATTGCCAAAGCTCTAGAAATCACAGAAAATGAAGCCAACTCGATCGAGTCGAATATCGGAGTGATCAATTGCAGCAAACGCGGTTATAATCCTCCCATCAGCGCATTGCCCCTTCGTTGCGTTTTTTTGATCAATAGTAAATAGTAATAGTAATTTTCACAATTTTTTCCACCTTCTATATATATATATATATATATATATTTGTTATTTGCCTCGTGAATGTGCCGGAGTGGAGGGGTGTAGAAACTTGCAGAAATTTTCTTTTTGGACCAGGAAACTTGAAGAAATTTTCAGGTCAGGAAAAAAAATTGAAAATTATAATTGGCTTTGCGTCATAGTTAACGAGCCATGTTAATATAGGACAGGGAGTACATCAGTGGCGCTGTTGCGTGACATCTAAGCGGCGTCTATTTCCCTGCTATTTTGATTGACTCGATGTACTGGTATTTAATTTTTTGAATAAATAATTTTATTTTATAATATATCAATTAAAGAAATAAGTTAAGATTTAATTTTATCTCTTTTTTTTTTTTCCAGCGCTGAGCAATTTATATTTTCAAGGAAGATAATTTTTTTCTTCAACTATTTTTTTAAAAGTAAAGATGTCCTGTTAAAATCTTTGGTACCTCTGGTGATGTGGCATGGCCCCACCCACTTTCCTCCTTTTTACCTTAAACCCCGCCCCCAAAACGACGACAAGTTGCCCAGACACTCCCTACTTCTTCCTCCTTCGTCCCTTTCTTCAAGGAAGAGAAGCCTGGCGTTCCCAAATCCAAACTCACCAGCACCAGCAAACAAGACAACAATGGGATTCTTGGGAATAAAGATTTTGAATTCAATTTCAGTATACAAATGGGAAGAACTCAAAGGGATAAGGGGAATCAAAAGTCATAAGAGTGTTTGGATCTAAAATAAGATTGTGGAAGAGATCTAAAGGGACGATGGGGTCACTGTTGGGAAGATGAGATTTTCACAAGGAGAGGGTTCTCTCCTTTTCTTTACTTCTATTTTTCTTCACTTCTCTCAACTTAACTATTCATTAATTTCATGATTTAAAAAAATTATTTAATAAAATAAAAAATGATTAAGATGGAAAAAGAGAGAACCTCCTCTCATTTTCACAATGAATAATTTAACTATTTGAGAGGTGAGAATATGAGCCAATCCACCTCATGTCGAGTTGCTCATATGTATTAAAAAAATATGAATTGAGTTGGATTCAATCTATTTTTATATGAATTAAAAAAAATTTCAACCTAACCCAACTTTTAAAGGTTGGTGGTTTAAATGTGTCAACCCACTAACTCATTTATTTATTTTTAAATTTTTTATGAATTTTTTAAAAATACATTTAAATAATAAGGTTTAATTTAACATTTATTCATAATTTATTATAAATATATCAAAATATTAATTTATAATATTTATACAAAATATATAAATTGATACAGCTAATTAAGTCATGCCTAATATGATTTATATCTACAAAATTTTCTCTTTTTTATTTTTTTTATTTTGTTTAAAAAATAATATTGGTTAAACGGGTCAATCTTAACTCATTAGGATTAATACATATGATTCATAGGTTATATGGTTTGAACTAAAAAAAATTTATTTTTATTTAGGTCAATTTTTTTCAAGCTGACTTGACCTTTGTGACTGATTATTTAGGCCAACTCATATAACTCAACTCATATTTCAAACTCTACGTTTGAACCTCAAAAGGGGGTCTGACTTTACATATTGAAAGCCAAGTCACAATTTGCCTAACCCCACACATGCCCCATCACTAAAGAAAACATAAAACTTCATGGTTAATTAACATAAAGGCATTTTTTCTTCTCGAAGAAATCATTTAGAAAGAAATTTTCTCTACTTAAAAGTATAAAGTGTCCAGCTGTAATGACCCAAAATTAAATATTCTTAAAATAAATAATAATTAATTAATTAACCTAGTGAGTAAAAAAATACATTAAAACAAAATATAGAATAAAAGATAATAAAATTGCTTACTTCATATCTATATTTAAAATTATAGGGTAAAACAAACAGAAAAGAAAGAGAAGACAATTTCTAATATACTATAGAATGTAACTTATATCTTTCATCCAGTTTTGGGTTTAAATCTTAGTCCGGCTTGTTAACTGAGTATTTTCTTATTTTTATCCTATAAAAAAATTATCTAAAATTAAATTACTAAAATTTTCCTGCCTCAAGATTTTGTCAATGCAAAATGAATGAATGGATAAATGAATGAATAAAACAAACAACTAAAACCCTCTCATGCTCTCTAACTCATCAGCCAACATTTATAGGAAAGGGAATTGGAAAAAAAAAAAGTCATGCCACCTTCCTTTCTCTCTCTCGAATGTTCTTCTTCTTCCTTCCTCTGCTCTTTTTGTGTCCGTTGCTGTGGTGTGTGTGAGCTTGATCTTTAATTTTTCTTTCTCTCACTTAGTCATCCATGGCCATGTGTGTGTGTGGGGTTAAGGTTTCTTCCCTTCCCCTGTTGCTGAATGTCTAAGACAGGAGAGTTTTGAAGCGTTTGGCCATCGAAAAGTTTGAAGGAAAAGGAGCTAAAATAGATAGTACTTTTACAATATTTTGTAGTTGCTTCCTTATTGAATGATTTAGAAATAAAATTTGTATTTTTTCCCTTCTCTTTCTAAGTTGAAACAAGATAGCTAATGGGGTACTTTAAGCTATGAAACACATTTTATTTGATTAGTTGTTGACTCGTGGTAGGTATATGATGAAAAGTACAAAAGGGATTATAACTAAAAATGAATAATTAAATACTAGAGGAGAATATTGGCTAGATTATAATACATGAGTCATCTAATATTCATGTTTGTGTAAAATAAAAATGATATATATCACTTATAAAGATTTTGTATGAACTAGTGATTTAGAGTCAATGAAAAGAAGCATTTTGGATGTATTAATAGATGGGTGTAAGTTTAGGATAAATATTTATAAACATTTTAATGGTTAGGAGATTAGGAGATATTTTTTTGTGAGTTAATTGTTAAGTGCTAAAAATAAAGTTATTCAATATCTTTTACAAAAGGAGAGAATTACAAGCCAAATAAATAAGGTTGTAATTATAGGTTAGATAGGGGTTGGATTTGTAGAAAATGATTTTTCCCTTCTTATGTGATCTTCTTTGATGTTGGGAGGCATATCTAGAGAGCTTGCTTGTAAAAGTAGATGTATGAAATAACTTCAAAGAAATTGAAATTTTTATGGAAGTTGGTAGCTAGTTACAATAGTTGCAAGGTGACTATGTTATGGCTTTCTTGAATTGCTCAACCTATTCATTAGCATCCGTGAGTTTAACTATGGATTTTAACCTTATGAAAGAAGTTAACTAATAAATTGGTTGTTTGAAATTTGATTCATGAAGAGGTTGAGAGGCATACCTAGAGAGCTTGCTTGTAAGAGTAAATGTATGAAGTCGCTTCAAATAAATTGAAATTTTTATAGAAGTTGGTAGCTAGTTATAATAGTTGCAAGGTGACTATATTATGACTTTCTTGAATTGCTCAACCTATTCATTAGCATCTGTGAGTTTAACTAGGGATCTTAACCTTATGAGAGAAGTTAGCTAATAAATTGGTTGTTTGAAATTTGATTCATGAAGAGGTTGGAATTATGAATTAAGAACAATTATATTTGATTTATTAAAGATATGTTATAGTTGGTTATAAATATTGCACATGACTTTTATTTAAAGAGCATTAAGATAAAGATGACTGAGAATGAAGAAAAGTTATAATGGATCAATGATAAAGGAAAAAGCTTGGGTTGAAATTTATCAATGATTTTTCTCTTTGGGTGCTTAGGTAACCATTATGGTGTTTTCCTGTGAGGTTTGCTAAAGGGTGAATTATATTTATTTAGGAATGTCTCAGGTAAATAAATAATGTTCCCCAATAAATAGAAATGATGATCTTTCTCTTATTTTATTTTTGTTTATTCTAAATAAATTTTCCTACTATAACCTTATGATTAAGTTGATTTAAAGTATATAGATATCTTACTTGTTCCCAGTAAGTAATTATGTGGATAGCCAAATAGAAAGCCTTCAATTGCATATTGTCTCTCCATAATATGATTGTAAGGCCTTAAACCCATTGTAATTATTTTGTATCTTAGTTAGTTATGCTCCACATATTTTATAGGCAGGATCCTCATCTGATTATATTTTGGGGTTGTACTATGATAAGAATTTCAAGATGTTAAACTTTTCAAGGAGCAATCTATCAAAACTTTTATAGAGAAAGAAAAATCTAAACATTTTTTTAATTTATTGTATGAGATCTTGCTTGGTAGCAAGGCTTCTAAATGGTTTGTGAATCTAAGGAGACTAGCAAGGATGTTTCTAGTTATTTACTTAATTTTTGGACTGTGACACCAGCACTCCTAAAACAAATATAGAGATAAAATTAGACATTATGTAACATTCTAAATTTTAATAATTGGATTATTAAGGAATTAGTCAAGTATAATTATGGCAATTGAGTGATTTGATGTAATGTGTGGCCGAAAAGGTCTAATAATTATATTTGATTGTGTTTTCAACACTAATTATAGATCTAAAGTGAAGACAAGCCCTTGGGCAAAAAAAAAGGAAAACGTAAAGGATTATCTCTATGTCACATGCCACAGTCTGTCGCACGTTCGCCACAATGCGTAGCATATCTGCCGCAATGCACAAATGACAATTGAAGGAAAAGGGCCTCTTTGTACTACGCGCTGCAATACGCATCATGTGCACTGCGGTGTATAGCCCCTTTTCTGGAGAATTTAGTCGCGAAATGAGATAGACAATAAAAAAGAAAAATGGAGGAGCTCGTTCTTACTCTGTTGGGGTTTGCCACATTGGTGGTTTATGAGTATTTTAGT